TCAAATGTATGAGAAATAATAGAGCTTCTGCTACTGATGGACAGAGACCTTGTGTTCTTACTACTGGCTGCTCATTCTAACTTTTAGGCGTACTCTACGAGTATGTAAGGTCCTATTAAAACACTGCAAATATTTTTAGGGTATGTTCTTTCTACTCGTGAAAGTGAAAAACTTAATAGAACCTCATAGGCCAGGTCAGGCCAGTTTGTTCAGGTTTGTTAGTTTAGTGATATTTGAGCTGGAATATACCCACTGAAAATTTAATCATAGAATTGCCATTTTATTGTGAATAGGCATAAGTAATTCTTCTAGATGATTCTTCAAGCAGTCCAGACAGTCTAGGAATCGTGACTTAAGTAAAGACGGAATCAAAAAATCTATTTACCTATTCCATTTTGCATGAAGTCCACTAATAAAAGCAGTTGAATTAGAATCTATTTCTGTTGCTTATCATTGTTGCGAAATACTCAAGTTAAACCTAATAAAATCTTGGACTACACAAACCACTTAGGCTTATAGCACCTAGGAGATTATACAGGGAGTAACAGAAATTTGATAACAAGCCGAAAGGAGGTTAAGGTACTCATGAAACTGAACAACTTTCCCCATGGAACATATGGGTCGAATTATGAAAACAAAATTGTACCTACTCCCATACAAAATCGCCGATCAGCTAATTGATTTACTATGGGAGGACCAAATTTATTTTTTATATTTTCACCCTTGTTTCATGGGTAAAATTGTTCAGTTCCATGAGTACCTTGACCTCTTTTCGGCTTGTTATACCCTTTCCGTTACTCCCGGTCTTGTCCCGGTATAATCTGTCATTCAATTGACTAATTAATAAAAATGACATCAAAGATAATCTGCTACGTCCAACGGCTACGACTATTTTATACTACGGCTCTACTTTTAGGAGTTACTTCGGAAGCACTAGACTTGCTTACTTGTTGTCTTTTTATTTTTATTCCAGTTTAAACTACTATTTTAACATAACCTCTACAAAAAGTAAACACACAGTAAAAAGTATTTTGAAGGTAAATAACATAGCCTTCTAACGATGAATGTTTGTCAGTTTATGTCCTTACGGAAATATGGCTCGTTACGGAAATAGACGATTTCATCATACAGATAAAAATAAAAATACTAGTTTAATAAAACAAACTGGTATTTATATTTTTATCTACAAAACAGTTTAAAATGGCATCCACCTTACCAACAGAACCCCATTCAGCATACATAGCTGGTTATCTTGAGTTTATTGTAATGGCGCCCATACAAAACCAGATATATCTTGCAAATTGGGCGTAGCCGGTAGAGCTGTTTAGCCGTTTTAATTATTGTTTTTGAAGAGCATTGACTTTTGAATTATTATTACCTACACACTAAGTTATTTTTGTAACATCGTGTTATTCATTATAATTGGATTATTGAACCGGACCTCATTCACCGTCATCATTTGGGGATTTTACAAAATACCTAACCAATTAACTATTTATATCAGATCAATGACGTCATATAATAAATCGTATACACGGAACGTTGATGTTGTGTCCAAAGTGCAAGTGTAGGAAAACCCAATAAAACCTTAATTCAATTCAATTTTTTACTATTACTTAAATTTATTTTCGTGTAGATAATGAGCGAAACAAGTTACAATGAAGTACATACTTACAGTGGGAAAAAGCGCTGACCTATGTATACCTACACATGGATCTAGTCACATTGTATTGAATCTAATTATATTTGTTAAGTAATACCAAGTACCTACCTTAGTATAGGTACACAGGTACTGTCAGCTGCACTTTTAAGTTCACATTTAAACATATTATAATTAATTTTATACACTTTTCTCATAAGTATCACAAAGATACCTAAATCGCAAATATTACGATTTCTAAATAAATAGGAAATGTTGTACAATTTTATTCCTATGTCCCTACTCCTAATATTATGCAACCCTATCTTCCAATAGATTTAATATAGGTATACATAAAATTAAGAATCAAATATAATACATTGTTTTTGGGATCCGAGTCGACGAATGACCTATTATTAAAAGTAGGTAAAAATATAATATTATAAAAAAAAAACTGATCTATCTGTCTTGACTGTGGTGTAAGCACGTATTATTCTAAAAGACGGTGAAGATTGAGCAACAGTATTTATCATTAGTAAGTACGTGCTCGGATCCGATTTATAAGTTATCTTCTTAATGCACGAAAAGCATATTTTTTATCAATCGTAATTTTGTTACGTACTCGTTTTTCGTAACTGATACAAGTGATAAAAAAGAGTTCAACTTTGATAATATTAATTCGTAGAATTGATAATATTAATTCGTAGAATTCATAGAAAATATTACGTAAGGTTACATTTAATTTCAGGGTGTGTTCTACTCACCAAACTGAACGACATTTATTACAAAAAAAGATTTGGAAATAAGAAACAAAAATGGATTTCTCATACTATAGAGAAACACCTTTACAACATTTTTGTATGGGAGGTCCAATTTTTTTGTGACTATATTCAGCACCCCGAGTAACACCTGCAATGGCTTTCTTGTATGGAGATTTAGTATTTATTTAGTATTTATTTAAGAACATTTATACAACCATTACAGGAATTCCCAATGGAGATGTGGTAGCGGCTAAAAATACTACCACCCCTAGTTCACTCAGAGTGTTTCGTAAAAGGCTAAGAAGATTTTTAACCTCGGCTGAATATCTGTTGACTATGGTCAGTCGCATGCTGGTGGTATTACCACCTACAATAACATATCAGCAATCTTAAAGACGGTTGACGTCTGGCTGGCGGCCGGTCCTAAAACATAGCCAAATCCTTTGCTACATGATTTTTTGTTTTATTAAAACATGTTGCGCCGCTCCCTACTGATTTGGGATCAGGGTAGGAAGATGGTGATGTATGGAGAACAATTACTACTCGTCTTGCGCTACCTACTTCTATGACAGGCATGAAAGATTAAAGCGCAAAAGGGGTTGACATTTCATTTCAGGTAGGTACCTAAAAAATCGATCTAAAGTCCGTGTAAAGTTACTGAGGTCTAAAACAGGAACTAGTATCACACACAAAAGCTGTATAAACTGCCAACACGCTAAAAACAATAAATCCATATTCTCACCCTGTAAACAAGTTATTCTCAAAAATGCTGGAACCAAAAATATCCTAAAGAAGTTACAATACATGTTGTTTAAGAAGGGATCATTTACCCTAGTACAAGGTTTTTAATAAAAAATAATCATTGCGCAAAAACTACAAAAAGTAAATACATGAAAACACATTTCGTTCGAAGCCGCCGTCTGACCAAATCAGCCCGCAAGTATACATTTTTTTGTCGGAATTAATTAAAGACGGACGTAATTGATCGAATGTCACGGCTTCTAAGTTATGAAATTCGCTAGTCGTTTACTCGCAGCTGTCCTTAGTGGTCAGCTCTCAGTTTCCGCCATCATCTCAGAACAATCGGCGTGCAATCGCGTCGGGGAAATAGATCGTAAAATAAATAACTTGTTGTAATTTGAACAATGGAATCGCTGGTAAATACTACAGTGCCGCGTAGTTTATGGAGTTTCAAAGGATACGGTAAGTTTTTTATTTTAATTTTTATAATGAGCTTATGGTACAAAATGCGTTAGAAATGTTTATTTTACGACAATTTTCATCGTCTGCCTGACCTTATCCCAATTTATTTTGCTACAATCTTATTTCATTTAAAAAATTACTAAGGACAAGTAGGTTAAAATGTGTTTACTTACAGGAAATAAAACTTAGTGTCGAAGTAGTTTCACATATTTGATATGTAAATCTAGCACTAAAGTATTTAGTATCCCTATTTTAACCTGTGCACCACTGTTGTTTTTCTTAAATGTGCCCTACATTTTATATTACTTCAGCTGCTCTACCCTACCTCAGCCACAACAGTACTTCAGCTATTTTGATAATATTTCATTCGTTTGTATCGTATGGTACACTGGGTCGATAACCGATCCAACGAACCCTGGTGCCTAAATTGTAAACCTTCTGATAGCTTCATACTTTGAAGAAGTCTCTATGAAAGTTGTTCATTTTTGTAAGTAGAACAAGTCAAGAAAATATTTGTACTTAGGTAATCTCTCTTCGTGTGGGAAAACGAGTCGTCCAACGACCCGATAAACTCTGAAGTACCTTATTAAAAATAGCCTTATTTTTTACACATATTTTATTAGCTGTAATTTAAAAAATGGTTGCATCTGCAGAATTTCTAGTGTTTTTGACAGCCGGTCTGAGCCAGATCTGGGAGTTACGAATGAATAAGAAAAGTTGTAAACTCTCTCTCTCTCTTCGTGTGGGACACCGAGCCGTTTAACGACCTGATAAACCCTGGTGTCAGAGTTTTTCAACCGCCTACTGCAAGTAGCAGGCCTCTGACATGGTTGTGTAAACTAAAGGTGTGCCTCTGAAATCAGAGGTCTACTAGATACCTATCAGGGGGATAACAATAATTTTAACGAACACCATAGCCATAGGTATCACCTAACAAAGCTAAATGTCCCTCCTAATCCTGTCCCTCATAATTGAGGGCGCACAACTTTACAACAAACTACCAACGGTTATCAAAGATTGCAAATCCCTAGCAAGCTTTAAGAAAGCACTTAAATCCCACATTTTAAGAGACCAATCGTCTATCTTGTGGTAACATTATGAATATGGCCACATCTAGTAACCTGATGATCCGTGTAAAGAAGTGCGCGTAAACACACTATGATGCGACGGCAATGAATGTCTCACTACCCGCGGGTTTATTATTATTTTTTAGTTTAACCACTTGTTTAACTAATATTTAGCTTTGTCGTTACGATATACCTAGATTTAATTCTCATTTTGTAAAGTTTCTCATATAAGTGAATTAATGTATTCTTTTTTGAGAAATAAATGTCTTTAACCGTAATGCCATAAAGCTAACCAATTTTTTTTTTTTTTTTGGAAAACTTCCAAAATTTCGCCGCAGGCAGGATTTGAACCTGCGACCTTCGGCATCAGTACTGCAGACGCCCTAACCAACTGGGCTACCGCGGTTCTCAGTTGGTTAGGGCGTCGGCAGTACTGATGCCGAAGGTCGCAGGTTCAAATCCTGCCTGCGGCGAAATTTTGGAAGTTTTCCAAAAAAAAAAAATTGTTTACCTAACACGAGAAGTGTTTTAAAATTTGGTATTCAAAGCTAACCAAATTGAAAAATGTAAGTAGCTACGCCTCTTCTTTACAATTTTTCTGTATCATTCGTAACTCTCAGATCTGAAAATGTTTCAGATACATTTAATATTTTCAATTAGGTAGGTACAACTAATAAAATCTGTATAATTAATTACACCAGGGTTCATCGGTTCGTTGGACAAAAAAAAAAAGATAACCTAAGTATGTAAGAAGGAAAGAAATAGATCTTCCATACTAAGTGACACTTTTTTAAACATGTTTGTATAGTAGGACCAATTTATTTTTATATTTCGAAGAAAGGTTTCTTATAAAACTTGTTCAGTTTCGTAAGTACTTAGAACATACCTTGAAAATGTTTGCACTTAATCAAATTTAACCCTACATAGTGGCGCTCATGGTAAAATTCCTTAATTAAGTAGGTGTCTACCTAATGACGACAATCACTCAGTATTTCCCTAACTATGCGATCAATATCAAATGACGTCAAATGTTTTTATTTCTTTCCGTTCCAGATGACTTCATAGACGAATGGACGATGATGGGGACCCCGTTTCCTATACTGACAATCTTCGCAGCTTACCTCCTATTCGTCCTAAAACTAGGCCCAGATTTCATGAAAAAGCGACCCCCTTTCAGCCTGAACAATGTCCTCCTACTATATAACGTGGTCCAAGTGGCAGTGTCTGTCTACGTGTTTTTTTACGTAAGTACTTTTTTCATTGCCTTTTTTACCCAAGAGGCCAAAGTACGTAATAAGAGGAAAGATTGGAAACATTATCATTTTTTGTAGTGATTAACGACTTGTTATTTAAAGGAGGTTTATTTTTGAAACAAAAAAATAAATTGATTGGCATCACTTATTTCCAATGATTTCATATGCCTATTTCTACATGTGTATTTTCGTTTTTTTTGACCAATTGTAAAAGCATACCTGTTTTTTTATAAAGACGTCATGCTTGCCTAAAACATGGCTAAAAGGATATGACTAGTCTTAGTATAGTCTTAGTATTCATTTCTATTAGGTATACTATGGTATACACAATGAAAATGGCTCTTACATCATGTAGTTTGTTTAAAACATAGGGTGAAATAGTGACCGACATCGAAATAAACAACTCAAAATCGGCTGGTGATAAAGAACAACTTTCCTCCTTGATCAAATTAGAAAATATTCACTCCTAAATTCACTAAAAACCTTGACCCATTTAACAAGCATTTTCTGAAACATGTATTGTCATTCCATCATACCTACTACATACTTTGTCAATGTTATACATAAAACATAAGATAGATAGTTTATTTGACGTCCAGTATTACGAATATATTTGATACATTGTACGTAGACCCTACTTTTACATATTTATTGGCTAAAATCCTATATTGATTCCAATAATAATATGGTACCTATTCAACATCAAATATCTATATATCCGTGTGATGCTCGCTTAGAATAGCTGCATGACCCCAGCTATTCTCATGAGAACTAAGCTAATAGATTTCAAAATTGTAGAAGATTTATTAGTAAATCCATACATACCAAAAAATTAAACTTTTAATACAACATACTTTCATTTTTTAACAAAAGAGATAACTTAAAAGTTATGTTTGAGATAAAATATTCAAAATGGACGTGAACCTATTCAGACGGATGAAATTTTACTAGTGACCGATAGCAAAAACTCAGACCCGGTGATAATGAACAACTTTCCCCAAAAAATACAGGTCGAATATGAAAAAATGAAATTAGACCTTCTATAGCAATTTAAATAAGCTGATGGGCAATTTTGTATGGGAGGACTACACACAGTTTTGTATGGAGGAGCACACTTTGTACTCAGTTATACTGCCCAAAAATTTTAGTAATGCGTTGTAATATTTCACGTACCTATAATCTGAAATCCAAAAAAGATAGTAACCTCATTTTTTGTTGTGCGATTCAGGTCATGCATTTTCAATAATGCAGTAGGTAATAAGTGTATTTAAATTTTAGGTCATTATTCAAATATTGATGTTTACGTACTGACATATTTAAATTATTCTTGGTAAATATTTGTTTACTGTGATTGCCATTTATCAAGTACGTTAGAACTATGAGTTTTTCCTTAGAGTATCTTGACGTGGCCTTGCAACGAACTATAAAAGTCAATAGAGCAAGAATACTTGAGAACTGTGCTACTAAAAGGTAATGTTTTTATTTAATTGATACTCGAATGATATAGTAAATACTTACTAGTCCTTCAGAAAACGAATAATTGTGATGTACACGTGTGACAAAAGGATATGATTAACTATACTCGAGAAAACCACTCGCTGCATTTGCTGTCATATTCGCTTACTCCCTTAAGTTTGCCGCTTAAGTAGGAAAGAAAGCGCCATATGGATATGACCGATTACGGCCGTGAATACAGCGAGTGGTCTATGGACGATTTTTTCAAGGATGGTCCAGATTAATAAAATATGACAACCAAAGTTCCCAGGGAAAAAGTTATAAAAACGAAACCCCCACCTATTCTTTCTTTTCGTGTGGGATATCGACTTATCCAACGACCCGATGAACCCGGATGTTGGACTTTCTGAACAAAAAATAAATTGATGGAAAATTACCGCAAGAAGTTGGAGCGGTCATTTCAAATCTATCATTTTGTGCGTTCAATATGATAATTATCACGGCCTGTTATTTTTTTTACACGGTCTTTAACCTCAGACATCGTAACTAAAAAAAAGATCGCAAGAAATATAGGCATTAGGCAGGTATCGAATTTCACTGCTAAATAAACAGTGTGTTCAGTGAAGATGGCGGAATGTTTTTAATTTCTTTATCCTAATCAAGTAGGGTATCTGTAAAATATGTAGAGCTTCACATGGTGATTTCAAAAATGTTTCGAATATAGGTACATTAATCAAATTTATCTACTACTAAAAAACAAAAAGTTACAATCTTTTAAAGTAGTCAAAACATACTGTGCTGTCGCCTTCTTGCTCATCAGTTTCTCCAAAGACACACAAACTCACCGTTTCTCTCATTACATATGCTTCTTTTGCATTTTTCTCATTTTTTTATCAAAACAAAATCGATCCAACCAAGTAAAAAAATAGGTAGTGTTACTTACCTGTAGAGGATTTCTTTAAGTACCTACGTCGTACATTTTTTGAGGTCTCGGTAACCACAGTAAGTGTGTAGACACACTATGACCGAAATTACGCGACCGAAATTTGGTGGCTGAATTCCGTTTCGTCAGTTTTCGGCGTTTTTGGTTGGGATGACGCAATATGAGCGCCGAATTTACGTAATTTCGGCGACGGAATTGTAGCTGAAGTGTGTGTAACCTGTAGAGGATTTCTTTGAGTACGTCGTACATTTTGAGGTCTCTGTAACCACAATAAATACGACTACACTACGACCGAAATTCGGCGGCTGAAATTCGTTCCGTCAGTTTTCAGCGTTTTCGTTTGGGGTGACACTATTTTAGCGCCGAAATTACATAATTTCGGCGACGGAATTTCGGCTGAAGTGTGTCATCCGTAATGCAATTAACATTGCTGGCTTAATTGCGCCGAATCCCGTCGCGTAATTTCGGTCGTAGTGTGTCGACGCAGGAATCGCGCAGGTCAGGGATCAGTGGAGAGAGCTCGTTTCGGAGGCCATGATCCTCTTTTGGTTGCTGAGTCAGCGGAGTTAGTTAGTTAGTGTCGAAACTGAGAGGCTTAAAAACTGAATCGAACGTAACGCTGTTCTTTATTTTCTCCTAAGCGCCATCTATATTTGCTATTCAATCACGTGACCCTGGACAGTTTCTCACTGTATGCCCCAAACTGCGACGCCAAACAAAACAAAGCATCTTCTAGTGTACGTTTCCTTGTTGATAAATATAGCTAGGTAAGCAGGTATGTGTAGGCTCAGCGTAATATATTCTGTTTGAACTTCCAGTGCTTCCTTCTTATTAAAAAATCGTTTCCTACAATTAATAAATCGGTATTGTGCTTGTTCTAGATGAAATTTAAGTAGGTATCATTCACCGCTTAATTTTACAGTATTTTATACTTCAGTGGCAATAATGTGTGTTGTTTTTTGTTTCTATTTGATTAACTCTGACACTAGGGTAAACCGATGAATGGATCATTGGACGACTCGGGGGTTTCCAAAAACAGAAGTTTATATTTTGGGAAGATTGTTTGCTTGCCTATACAATGTTTACCTTTTTTTGTAATAACACTAAATACCTCGATATTTAAATTTGAATCTTGAAAATCATATTATATAATTCTCTTTATTACAGGGAATCCGTCTGCTCTTCAAGGCTGGCCTCGTGGATACAGTTTGTGAACTGGATAAACAGAACATTGAACCCGTAAGTACACATCAAAGGCTTTTACGAATAGAAATAAGAAAAAATCCCTACCGATACCCTCAATGTGCTGGTCTCATCATCTTCTAGCCCTTATCCCAATTATTTGGGATCGGCGCTACATGTTTTGTTTGAACACAAAATCATGTTGCAACAGGATTTGGCTTAATTTTACGACCAGCCGCCTGCCTGAGGTTTACGACAACCCTTTTTGGCAATGCTATCATAGGTGGTATTACCGCCACCAAACGGTTGACCATGGTCGTCAGATATAATTGTAGCCAAGGTCAAAAACTCGACGTCATCTTTTACGATACATCCTGAGTAGAATAGGGAAAAAATTCTTAGCCACTATCACTGCCTCAATGTGCTAGTAAATGAATTGAATCAATAGGTAAAATATCCCGAAAGCAGAAGTCACACAGCTTGTGTATCAAAGATTTGTGTGAAAGATGTATGACAAGCCAGGAGTGTTAATAGTCAAATTATATCGTATTGGAATTTTTAATGCACTCACAG